CAACACCCAACTGCAACTCCTACCAGCTTCCCCACACTTTCTCCAGAAGCAGTCCCTACTACCAGCCCAACAACTGAAACTCCAACTGTTACCCCAGGAAGCCCATCATCCAGCCCATCGACTGCTGCTCCTACAGTGACAGCGGGTAGTCCCAGTGTGGCTCCAACCAGGGCAAACCCTACAGTTTTGCCGGGAAGTCCCAGCAGCAGTCCAACTACAGCATTGCCAACAGTAACACCAGGGAGTCCAACGGCAAGCCCATCAACCCAAAGCCCAATCATTCCTGCTGGTCTTGACACCGAGTCAAACTCAAGCGGTACTGTAGGAACTGCACCCTCAGACACAATGATTGGAGAGTTAGGCAACAGTACATCAGAACCAGCACCCCCTCCTCAACCCCCAGCCTCCAACAATGTGACAGGAGGATATCAAGCAGCCAGTTCTACTGCTTCTTCAAATGTTACCTCCAACCAAGGGTTACCCAATGACCGGGGTACAGCAAACAACACTACATCCTCAACAGTAGCAGAGAATCTTGGTTCTGGTTCTTCTAATGCCACATCTGGCGATGTGGCAGCCCCCATTGCCACCCCTGCTGGAGCCATGAACATCACAACAGAGTCAGTTTTGGAGACTGGATCTTCTAATGTCACTGAAGAAGGGCTTACAGCTGGCCACACTGAATCAAATTCGTCTGGTGCGCAAGAAACAGCTGTGGCAGGCAATAGTACATTGTCACGTGTAGACAGCTCTGGTAATGCAACTTCGGCAAATCCAGCATCCAGTCCACAATCGAATGGAACAAGTGATACAAGTCCACCCCTGCCCAGCCAGTCATCGCCAAATAATACTGCATCTGTGGGCAGTCCAGTACCAGCAGGAAGTGACAACAGCACGTCTCAGGCATCCACTATTGGACCAGTGTCCTCAATGCCTAACGCTGCTGACTCTAGTGCTCCTAGCGATTCACCGACAAGAAGTTCAAGTGAACCCACTGTTACATCAACAGCCTTTCCATCTAAGATGCCAACTCTGTCACCAACCAGGGAGCCCACTCTGGTGCCATCCAGTGTACCAACCAGGGAGCCTACAGATGAGCCCACTCTTCTTCCAAAAAATGATGGCAGTATCACACCCAGTGCCAACAGTAACAAACCAAGCACAGTTCCAAGCATTCCTCTGAGCACATCCACTGAGCCAAGTGTGGCTCCCAGCAGAACGGATGACACAACCATCATGGCAAGTGACATGCCCAGTGCACCCACTGAACCCAGTACAGCTCCAAGCACAGTTCCAAGCACTACCAATAATACAAGTGCCAGCACCATGCCAAGTGCCTTACCCAGTACATCAACTGAACCCAGCATGGTTCCGAGCAGTACCAATAGAACAAGCTCCAGCACCATGCCAAGTAACATACCCAGTACATCAACTGAACCCAGCATGGTTCCGAGCAGTACCAATAGTACAAGCTTCAGCACCATGCCAAGTAACATACACAGTACATCAACAGTACCGAGTGCCTCTCCAAGTGTCATGAATAGCAGTGATAGCACCATGCCCAGTGAATCACCCAGTACATCAACTGCACCAAATTTATTCCCTAGTGGAACACCCAGTGTGTCACCGAGTGCAACACCTGCTGCATGTGACTCCCATTTGGTGTCGGTGGAGTCCGGCTACACTATTGGGTTCGCTGGAGATATCATGTCAGTGGGAGTCTCAGCAATGACTCTAGCCTTCACCGCTGCACTAACTGCAGTCCACCAGGGTAGCTCTTGCTCACCTATGGTAGAGACAATTGTCATGTCAAGCAAGTCAGGTGCAAATGATGCCCAGGTCAGAGCACATGCTAACCAGCTATGGGGTGGAAGAAACCTTCAGATGTCATTTGTAAGCTTCACAATTACAGCATCACAAGCTGCAGGGAGCACTCTCATTGAGTCTTCTCAAGAAGATTTGTTCCTTGAACAATATACAAGTGCCCTCAACACGGCTGAAATTGTGGCCATCTCTGTATTCCTCGAGATCTCTGTAAGCATATCTGACATGCCATCGAGTAGTCCAACTACAGACGTTTCATTCCAGGCTTCAAACGTGCCCTCTTTACAACCATCCACCATCCCATCCGTTCCACCATCAACCAGTCCTTCCAACCAACCTACATCAAACCCTTCATCAGCACCAACCGTGACACCAGGAAACCCCACAGTCAGTCCAATGAGTGCAATTCCATCCACCACACCAACTGAAAGCCCATCAGGAGTTCCCTCAACAGGACCTTCATTTTTACCTTCTCTCATGCCATCAACAACACCTTCAGTTTTTCCAACCAGCGTGCAATCAAACAGCCCCACTAGCAGTCCATCCAACAACCCCACAAAACGCCCTATGGCCCAACCATCACCTGCACCAACAGTTACCCCAGGTTCTCCAACTGTCAGCCCTACAACTGCAAGCCCAACGACCCAGCCATCTGGAAGCCCATCCACAGCTCCATCAGAAGTTCCGTCGATTTTGCCATCAACAAATCCCTCCACATCGCCAAGTGTCACCTTATCAGCCAGCCCCAGTTTGAGTCCTTCTGATGGTCCATCAAGAGAGCCATCATCTTCCCCTTCCACACTCCCTACCATTACCCCAGGGAGTCTCACTATCAGCCCAACCCTTTCTAGTGCTCCATCCCTAAGCCCATCGGAGTTCCCAAGTTTAATCCATGAACCAAGTGATAGCCCATCTTCACCACCTTCTGATGGTTCCTCAACAGCCCCATCAGCTACCCCTTCTTCACTCCCTACCATTACCCCAGGGAGTCCCACTACCAGCCCAAGCATTTCTAGTGTTCCATCACAAATTCCATCAGAGAGCCCAAGTCTAAGCAATGCACCTAGTAATCAACCATCCTCACAACCTTCAGCCATCCCTTCTTCGGTTCCTTCTTCCTACCCCTCAATGATACCAACATCCCCTCCTTCCTCACTACCCACAGTAACCCCAGGGAATCCCACTACAAGTCCAACAACATCAAGTAGCCCATCCAATATGCCATCCGGGAACCCTAGCCTAAGCAATGTACCAAGCATGAGTCCATCATCACCACCTTCAGCCAGCCCTTCAGTTGTTCCATCAAGCGTGCCATCGACCACCCCCAGCATCTACCCATCCAGCCTACCTTCTATTAGTCCATCGATGGTGCCATCTGTGGATCCCAGCTCAACTCCCTCTGATGCTCCTTCAGTGGTTCCAAGCACCAGTCCTTCTGATACCCCATCCACCACCCCCAGTAGCAATCCATCTGACCTGCCTTCAGTGATTCCCAGCACCAGTCCGTCTGAAATTCCTTCAACAAGCCCGTCAGATGTACCATCCCAACTTCCCAGCACCAGTCCATCTGACTTGCCTTCTGAGAGTCCCAGTACCAGTCCATCTACATTGCCTTCACTGAGCCCATCAGATATTCCTTCTGTGATTCCAAGCACCAAGCCTTCTTACATGCCATCTTCAAGCCCCAGCACAAGCCCCTCTTCATTCCCATCCACAAATCCAAGCTCTAGCCCGTCTAGAATTCCTTCTGCATCTCCATCATCAATCCCATCAATGTTGCCCTCCATCAAACCATCATCATCGCCTTCATCAGGCCCAAGCTCCAGTCCATCAATGGTGCCATCTTCAGCACCATCATCAACTCCATCAAAGTTGCCTTCCACAAGCCCATCTGACAGGCCATCATTGCTCCCTAGCGTCAGTCCTTCAGATCTTCCATCCTTGAACCCTAGCACTACCCCATCAGATGTACCTTCCACTAGCCCCAGTCACGGTCCATCGGATGTGCCTTCTACATCCCCATCTGTCATGCCATCAACTAATCCATCTGAATCACCCACAAAGGCACCAACTGAACCACCTACACCGCAGCCCACTAACCCACCAACACCACAGCCCACCAACCCACCATCACCACAGCCAACACCACAGCCAACACCACTTCCCACTTGGTCCAATAGCGTTTCAGGATGCTCAACTGGTCACTTTTCAGGATACTGTTGCCGCAAGTACTACCGTCCAAGCAGCTACACTTGGGTCAGTCCTGGAAGTTGGAATGCCTACAGCTCCATTTCTGCTTGTTACAATGCTTGTGTCTCTCAATTTGGCACAGTCCAGTGTGGTGTCTTTTCATGGTGGGCTGCCACAGAAACAGTTTCATCAACTCCGACCACAGGTTGTTTTGTACAAAGCGCTGGAAATTCAGGTCTCACGTATTATTCATCTACAGGTCATAGTGCAAATCCACTCTATACTTGTCAGAAATATTAGCCTCAAGCTTTATTATTTTATTAAAACCCTATCAGCACTGTTTCCTTGCCCTCAAGCAGGTAGCTAGCTAGCTAGCTATGCATAGCTACCGCTCCTGCATGTATTAGCTAGCTGAGTGGCTGGCTCTCTTTCCCTGGTCGGAGCAAGAATCCGTGGACCGCAGGCTCTACCAGTACGGTACCAGATAGGTTCCTGGGTGTGATTGCGTCTCTGCTAACCTTGCTCTGTCGGCACTGGCATCCTGTAATAGACAAATAGATACTAAGTAGAAACATTAAGGAGCGAGGGGGGGCTAAGCTAGCTAGGCTGAGCAGTGGCTGTGGTGCGGTGGTGGGTGGTACTGGGAGAGCAAAGTGGACTGGATAGAGCAGAATAGGGGGACTGGGGCAAGGGGGGCAATGAGGAAATGGAGGATCTACTGGTACCGGTACCGTACACTGTACCGGTACTGTAGAGGGGAAGTCGCGAGGGGGGAAGCGGATAAGCCGAAGTGTGCCACAGTTGGTACAGTAGCTTCAAGTTGGATGTCAAGTTGGATGTCACTGACATCAGTCCTTTATTGACGCTGACCACAAAACGCTCGGATCTCAAGAGTCGAGTCCATGCCGATTACTCTCCATGCATAAGAACTGCGAAGGCATAAGAGAGCCAGTTATTATTAGTCCACAACCATATGAAAATAGAAAATGAGACCATCCTCTCTGTATATAACGCTGCTGGTGGTCCTTTCAGTTCTGGAGCTGGTGTACGGATTTGTAGTGGTGGTCCCTCCTCCATCAGCAGTAGCATCTCCCCGCCAACAATCATGGACGTTGCTGTTTGCCAGTGGTAAAAAGACGAAAAAGGGAGGCATGGCAGAAAAACGCAAACGTCGTTCCCAAGCTCGCCAACAACGACAACAAGCCTTGATGGAAGCGAATGCGCAACTTCCCGCTTCCAAATTGGATTTCAAGACTCCACCACCTCCACCCACTCCCACGGCTCCGGGTGGATCTGCTACGGTAGACGAGCTGGAACAAGAAGCCACCAACAGCAAGGCGAGAGAATTGGTCGAGACGCAACGAGAATCGGTCAACATGTTGACGCATGTGACGGAACAATTGGAAGCCAGTAGTAGTCGTCTGGAGGAGCTGTCGTCGCAAGAAGAAGGATATGTCGTATTGGACAATTTACTCGACGAGTCCGTGGTGCAACAATTGCAAGACGAATCGATGGCACTTTACGAACAAAATGAAATGACAGCCGATGTCAGCCAATTGGGTACGGGAGAATTCATTACGGCAATTCAAGGAGGGGCCGAGCAGTATCCCAAATGTCCACGCACTATTGAATGGGTGGTGGCGGTCACAGGAAAACTGGCGGCACTATGCAATAGTCAATTGCAAGATGCTGTAGAATTGGAGGATCGAGCCTGTAGTCGTGCCGTGGCACGTCTCTTTGATCGATCCTCACTACAAGCATCCTTGCATTTGCTCATGGGACAAGACAGTCCCGAGGCGGTGCAACATGCCATTCAAAACTTGAAACCGGCATCATTGCAAACCGTTATTGAACGAGATCAAGAAGACGAGGAGGATTTCCGAAAAATATCCGTCTGCTACTTTTTGACGGATCCAACCTGGAACGAAGCTTGTGGAGGCCACTTGACATTTGCTACCGGCAGTACTACGGAAGATGCAACAACCACCACTATTGAGGCGCTTCGAAATCGACTCGTCATTTGGAGATCCGACACCACGAGAGTACGACGAGAGCCATTTCGGGGCAGTGAGATTCTCACCACGGCGAGTACCATAGAACTGCATCTTGTACAAAAGCAGCAGGGGTAGGATAGTATGTGCAGTTGGTTACCGTAGGAAAGAGCCAACAAGGCAACTGCGGCAAACAACTATCTCTTGAGCTTTTGCCGAAGAAAACGTGGTGCCAGGCTCTCTAGTAACAACCTACCGTACTCTAGCTAGCGACTACAGTACCGGTAGTTGAAAACGCCCACAATTCACTATGATTGGATTCTCGTCTGATGGAATGGTGACTATACTATTGGTTTTTCTCTCAGCATTAGGTGTTCTCTCGCTCGTATGCCAAACTTCTAGGGTCTAGGAGGAAGCACTCATCGTTCTGTTTCCCCCTTCTGTTTTGGTCCATGCCCGACAGTCAAAAGCCGATGAGTGTTGTCGCTGCCCCCCAAAAGCAATTCAAGCCAGCTCAGGCCTCGTCTACAATGCATCCGCCAAGATCTTTTAGACGGACCTTTTATTAAGGGTCCGAACGCTTCTTCTTTCGGCCCTGATACGCCACTTTGACGCTGTCATTATTGACCGCATATTCACCCGTATTGAATGTGATACCATCATCTTCGCTAGTACTGTGACAGGCAGTGGATACTTTGGAGCTGAACCTGGATGCCGCGAAAAAGTCGTCGTCAATGGTATCGTCGTCAGGGTCGTTCAGACCCACAGCGTCGGAGCTAGTGGTACTTCGGGGGTAGACACGGCCACCCCGGGTCGTCAATATGGTTTTCTTGGAAGGTGTAGACTCGTCCGCTTTGAACGTCAACGGTGGTTCCGACGTCGAAACGGAATGGGAAGGTTCCATCGTGTTGTTCGTGGAAGAAGTGGTCTTGTTGCTCCGGTTCATACTCGGGGATGCCCTCGATTGTGCCAAGGCAATTCGCGACCGCACAAGCGGGGGCTGCTTCGCCACCTGTTGCTGCCTTTTTTGGGCTTCGTCCTCCTCGTGCATTTCCTGGAGGATTGACATGGCTGTTTGCTGAACCAAACAACACTTTGTGGCATTTCGCATGTCGCGAGGCGAAGTTTTAGTGGTGGAATTGTCTCTACCACTCGATGAAGTCTCGACGATGGAGGCATAGTCCATTTCCACTGTCTCAAACTGCTCCAAGCTGGCACGAGAATCCCAACTAAGAGAAGTAGAAATGTAGTCCGAGGATGGGAGCCCGCCGGATGTTGTGGATGTTGGATCTGGCACGCGAGCATCCGTCGAGGAAGGATTGCCGTTAGCATTGTCGTACTCTTCAATGGTCGTTGTGATTGTGGTTGTCCCATCTGAGTGATGGGTTTCTCTTGTAGTCTTTCGCAATCCTTCCAGTTCTTCGACAATCACATTCGTCACCTCGACACTTTCCTCCTTGGCGCCGCCTCTGGTTGTTGCGCCACTGCGGATTCGAACTCCATCATCCAGGCCACTCCAGCAGAGTGATCGCTGACGCTATGAGTGGAGGATGGAATTTCAGACTTGTGAATAGAACGTTTCTCCTCCCGTTCTGATTCCGTTGGCTGCTTTTGCGACATGTACTGTTTTAAGCGTTGCACTTGAGATTTGACCGGACGCTGTTTTGGGACCCTCTGAGGCGTGGTCCGCATGCGAAGGATGGGCTTGGAAGGGCAGGGAATTGCAAAGATGACAATCGCCAATGGAATCACTAAGAAGACATTGAGGATGCCAAAGATACCGGCAATTCCGGCCACGCAGTCTACGTTGTCGGACCTGGTGCAGGCTTGTGTTTCAAAAGCTGCAAAGGTAATCAGCTGCGCAAACACGGCTGCCGGAAGGGTCAATTGGGTCAAGCACCACCAGGCCAGCTTCTTGTTGTGAGAAGGCTCAAAAAACGCATGCAAGGCACAAAACGAGAGGAAGGATGCTGTCATGAGGAGAAGGGTCATCATGCCAAAGGCCCTGCCTACCTCAAAGGCGCCATCAAACTCGGTCTTTGCCGCTGACGGATATGCAATGCAACCCAAGATGTCATCGTTCACGTAGTAGGCTCGATTGAAGAGTCCAAGACCGCTAAGTTCGTTTCGTTCTTGCCCCGTGGCGCCTACAAGTAGGAAGGTACAACGCGTTGTCTCGACCATTGTGAAAACCCACGAAAGACAGAGAGTGATTGCGATCATTGTCCGAATCCCAGGACGATCTCTAATGGCGTAGTACCGATGGGTGAATCGTTCCCATGCACTCTTTGGTTTCTTGTGGCGCATATGATCAGCTGCTACGCATTCAATGCCTTCCATGACAACATTCGGAGTGTTTGATTTGCCAAGTGATGCTCCCCCACATTCACTGTCTAGATCACCCACTTCACCTGCGGCACCCTTTAGTCTTTTCTGTGACGAAGCTGACGAGTGTTGCCCTGGGTTGGACAAGATTTCAAACTTTTCAGATCCCAGGTCGTCGTCGTCGTCTTGTTGAGCCATGTCAATGACACTCATGGGTTTCTTTTTCTTCCGAAACAGGAAGAGAGGCTTCGAAACAGGTGGTACCGCGTAGATCAAGGCGCTGAGCGAACCTAGCATGAACAGATTAAAGATGCTCAATATACTGGCCGGTCCAGGCCGACATTCCATATCAGAGCGATTGCACAGATCACGCCCAAACGCGAGAAAGCTTAACAATTGGCACAGAAAGGCGGTAAAGAAGAGGAAACGTGCGACCGACCAAAGGTTGGCTTTCAGAGGTCGTGGTTCGATGAAGAGTGTCACCAAAGTCACACAAATCATGGCAACGGTAGTTGAAAGAGTTGTGATCATTCCAAAAGTCCGTGCAGCCCGGAATGCCCCATCGAATTCATCCCCGCTCCCATAGTAGGCTACGCAGCCGAGTAGATTGGCATCCATGTCATAAACCGAGGTCGAAAACAAACCAAGGCCAACAGGATGGTCTACAATGTCAACGTTTACGGAAGTCATTGTAGCATTCGCCGAAGTTGAAACACCCAATGCAACATGTTCTGCCATGATGAAAGAGCAATGGAAGGTTCCCGCCAATGACCATATCCACACGACTACGCTCACGATGTTAATGACTGGCCTACACGAACGGAACAGCGAACATGGTTAGCGACAGCCTTTTCGCGCATATTGTGTTGCACTAGGACATTGGCACGTCTTCGTTGCTTACCATAAATGTCGACTTTGTTTCAATCTGTAGATCAAAGACGACGCCCCGCTCCTACTAGATAGATGGCCAGAGGATAGCGCCGACATGTGAGCCGCATCAGTGTCAGAATGCTGCGTCATGGTCGGTCAAAACAACTTTCTTTACGCCTCCTCTCTATCGTTCAGAACAACTCTCCCCTCTCACTAATTTGGGAACTGTTGTCATTGCATCTTTCGTAGGTTACGATTCTGGCTGGCCCGTGCCTTTCAAGAGCGTCAAAATTTTCCAACGGAACCGTTCGGGTGGATTTTTGCTCGCTCTGGTCTTCCCCTCAAGCTTTCAATCTTTTTAGGCACTCAGCTGGCTTATTTCTACGTTTGAGTCAAATCAGTTGGCTTATCACAGGTGAGTGCTTGGCTATGTGGACGTGAGGACAGTCTCTCATCCCCTCAATAGTCTAGTTCCTTCCAACCCATAGTAACATCTTCGATACTCATCCTTACTAGCTAGTAGTTGTATACAGTTTCTGTTTAAATCCTAAATAAGAAAGACGAATCTGAGTAAGTGGGGTTGAGTAACCAATACTTTGTGTTTTGCTTTCTGCCAGTGGCACCCAATCTTCAAACAGAACAAGGTGTCTTGCAAGATCGGGTGCCTCTGCAGGTTTCTTTGTCCATCACTAGTAGAAAGCGTAACACAGAGTATTGATTACCATGATGGTACTCAGTTTGATCTTTCTTAGAATCTGCTATACAGAGACTGTTTACAGCTATCACTATTGGCAACACTGTGATGCATCATCGTCATCGTCATCATCATCTGCACAAAAGGTAATCATCTCTTTGTCGTCATCATCTAGCTTTTTATTGTCAAAGACCAGTGTCCCCAAGTCATGGACAGCGTCTCGAAGGCGTGGCATGGCACAGCAGAACGAACACTCGGCCCCGTGACTTTCCAGGAAAGCCTGGACTTCTCGCTGCGTGCGTTGGTAGTCTCCCAGCAACCAATGCCCCCCAGTAGGCCGAATCAGACTGGACACTTTCCCCAATAGACAAGCTGGCAGTCGATGCTCCGATGGCTTGCAGTAGGGGTCATCTTCAGCCGCCAAGTAAAGAATGGGACATTGGGTTGCTGCCATCTGGTCCAAAGTCATGCGATAGGACAGGAGGGCGGCTCGATCATTGTAGGATTTCATGGCAAAACCGGTCTGGACAAATTCAATGACGAACTGTCGTTCCTCGGCCGATGTGTCTTGGGTAATGCCGTATTGAGAGTCGTAACGACCAAGCCTCAGAGATGCCCAGTGGGCAAATTCGGAACCAAGCGTATTGGTGCGTTGTTGTTGTTGTAGCCAGGTATCTGGTATCCTTCTTGGTTGCTTGTCGGCTGCAGCGTCCTTGAAGGGGACCCAAGGAGACAGAAGAACTAATGATTCGATCGACTTGGGAAAGAGACCGGTGTAACGTAGTGCTACCACGCTTCCAAGCGACATTCCCACCATTACGGAAACAGTTTGGATCCTCAACTGCTTGGTGAGCAAGTGATGCAAGTCGTGGCACCGCTGCTCCACAGATTGGTCCAGGACTGTTGTTGTTGTTGTTGTTGTTGTTGTTGTTGTTGTTGTTGTTGTTGTTGTTGTTGTTGTTGTTGTTGTTGCTGCTGCTGACTGAGACAGAATAATAACCTTGTAGTTGGGAGGTAGTATCTTGGCGGCCAGCATCAGCCCTTGGTGGTCATGGCCGTCATGCAGCACAACTGCAATAGGAGGATTCTGACAGCCACATTCCCTGACACTGTACTTCCAATGGATTCCTGGTCGGACAGTCGCAATGATGCTTTGACGTTCGGATAGTGCAATCTCTTGGAGGCGTCGTTTTCGATCTCTTTGGAAGGCTTGGTAGACCATCCACGACGCACCCAGGGAACTCAAGGATGCAACCACAATTGCAGACGCCACCGTTGTTTTGTTGGATCTTGATTCACTCCACATGAAGGAAGAAGGATTGAAGTTGTAGTCTAGTAGAACTTTTTCTTGTTAGTTGTTTCGATCTTTTGCTGAATGATGTTGTGGGCGCTCCATGGCGACTGCAACCGAGGCGAATGATTCGATTCATTCAACAATGGGCTTCTTGCTTGGTGACAGGACTTTTGCAGAGGGAGAGACGACTTAAATTTGTCACTGGGGGCAAACTCCTTTGCTACTCGATCGAGTGATGTTGTTTGGTCCATGCATGGAGTAAGGGGTAGCATGAGGGGTGGCTGTAGTTGGTTTAAAGGATGTCAACCGTGATGAACAGGGAGAGAGGAACGTGCCAATCGATTTAGCCAATCGTGCAAAATCTCCATATCTTTTGGAAGCTACAGGATTTGTTCCCTCCTTTCACTGGCTCTTTGATTACGACAGTACCGCACCGTACGGTACCAGTACAGTACTGTACTGTACAGTACTTTACGCAAGATAACAAAACCTTCACAAATTTCGATTTCAGCCTTCCTTGAAAACAAAAGCAATGAACATGCACGGCCCAACAACGGTCTTTTTGCTCGTCCTCGTCCTCGCACATGTGAGCGGTGCTGAAACCATCACCGGCATTATATACTGCGATAACTATTTCGAGTTTTATTTCAATGGAGAGGTACGCCTTGTTGGACCAAAAGGGTTTGCCGTTCACCCATGCACCCATGCAGCCACAGTCCTCAATAACAAAACTCATCACTATTCTATTCTTGCTCTCGTAGCTCATCCAAAAGGATCCAATGACGTTTACACCCCACAATGCTGTGGAAGTTTCCTTTGGATGGGATGGAGTCTCGGACAAACACTACGCCATTCTCTGTCAAGACTACGCCTCCGAGAGTGGCTACGAGTACATTGACGGAGGCCGTCCACAGCTGGGAGATGGCGCCTTGATTGCCGAGTTTTCCGATGGAACAGTCACAACGCCCGAATGGAAACTCTTTGTGGCCAATCATGGTCCTACCGAAGAAAGTGAACAGGCCGGATGCGATGGAAACAACTTGGATCTGTGCGAGGTACAAGAAAATGGGAACCCTGTCAATTGGGCTGCCGAAGACTTTGATTATTATCAATGGGAAGACGCTACCGTGTATAGTGCCAATGAAGCAGGATGGGGGCGTGCCCCTACGTGGGAGGAAGGATTGGGGTGTTGTACCGCCACCAGCCCGTTGGATCGATCTACGCTGACGCTCAACAATGGCTGCAGTGTCAACTATGATCCCGAAACGGGGCAGGAAGTGATGGCAACCGTTTCCGAGTCGGAATGTCTCAGCCCTCGAGACGTACTCGGCGACTCCGTTGCTGTCTTTTTGTGGGGGTCGGATCTGGAAAAAGACAATCGCATTCTCTTTCGCTATTCCATCCTTCTTGACACCTACAGTTTCGAATTAGATTTTGGCAACAGCACAAGTATGAATGCTACCAATACTAGTAATGTGGAAATGACAAATGAGGAGGAAGAATCAACGCCCAGTCTGGACATCACCATCAACGGGGAGCCCCAGGAAGAACCAGAAGTGGAGAAAACAGTGGACAGCAACGATGGAGAGGTGGCAAAGCTGGGTGGCCTTAACCCAGCCTCTTCCTCTCCTTTGCATCTCAGGTTGCAAGCGTTTGCCGTCGGCGCTGCTTTCATGGTTGGCAGTATAGTTCTTCAACACTAGCTAGGGCGAACCTTGCGGGTATAAATATAGCAAAACTACATGCACTTTAGCGTAAGTTAGTCAACAGGCTTTGCAGCCAAACTTCCCAGGCCTCCAACGGCACCATTTACAAACTATTATGGCTGCAATTAGCCATGTCAGGCAACCATATGAGGCATTCAAGGTCATCTCAGCAACCCAAAAGCCACAAAACACGGCCAGTCCCAATAGCAAGACCAGCACCTGTAAAAAGGCAGGCTGGGTTTCACCCCAGGCCACAAAATTGAGACCAAGCTCCACATAGACATGCATACCATCTTCCTTATTGTGGTAATTGAGAGAACAGAAGTTGGTTGAAATGAAACCGCAAGCTAGTCGGAGCGGGCTCAGCCACAAGTGGACAGCATGTGCCTGATGAAGCCGTGCAAGAGTTATTGTCTGATGGCCACCATGGCCCAACTGGACATGATCATTTCCTGGTTGTACAGCAATATAGGTTGAGGCAAGGATCCCATTGACTACAAGAGTCCCGCTTCGAGTCAGAGGTGCGTAGAGGCCTTGTTTTTCAATTGTGGTAATCATGGTGACCTGTTGGTGGGGGCTCTCAGTATTGCTATAGCCAACAAAGACCAGGACATCACCAACCTGAAGAGAACCTGCTCTGGTGGGTTTATCCTTTCTTTCCACATACACCATGTGTTCTTCAGTCATCTCCAAAGGCTTGCTGTTTCCGGTGGTACTGATTTGCAGAAAGGTTGTAGGCCGTGACTCGTGGCGATGAGCAAAGGCATAAATTGGCTGATAGACCCGTTCACTAGTCAAGACAACGTCTCCAATTTGAAGATCTTTCATAGCTACTGGTTCGGCGCTTTGTTTCATTTGAACAGTCGTATCTCCAGAAAAGCACACTGCCCCACCACCGTCAGAATCATAGTCTGGTGCGGGACGCCATGTTGGAGAGGAGGTGGGGGAGGGCGTTGTCCCGGGACCAACAGGACGCAGCGTTGGATGCCGTGTTGGAGAGCGAGTTGGGGAGCGAGTGGGGGAGGAACGCCGTGTTGGAAATGGCGTCCCAGAACCGACTGGACGCCGTGTTGGAAAGGGCGTATTAGAATCGACTGGACGCCGTGTTGGAAACGGAGTGGAGCCTGACATTGGTGCAGGTGTACCGGTAGGCATTCTTGTGGGCGTTCTTGTGGGACTTGGAACTGGCTCCTCAGTGGGCAATAAAGTAGGGGAGGGATTTGGTGCCTGTGTGGGACTTGGAACTGGCGCCGAAGTAGGCAAAGGAGTTGCAACTGGAGAAGACGTTTCAGGCAATCTATTCTGAACAAATGGTATCAAAGCAGCGCCGAGTTCACTGTGGCCACGATAGTTCAGATGAAAGAATTCAAAAGTCGATCCATCAAACTCATTGATCCAACCATTTGGATTGCTAGTCCCAAAATCCGGGTCTGGTTCATGCCCATCAAAGAGGCTCTTGGTGTCGTCGTAGAAGTGGGCAAATGTCCGCCCTGCCTGGCTGTTTGCTCTGCTGACTGCTGCACGTTGGTTGCTATCAACATCATTTGCCAAAGACCTCAGTGCACCAATAATGTCTCTGTTGGGTGATGTGAAGCCACAGCAACTGTTGGTGTAATCCGTGTCCATTGTAACGTGAGGGTACGCAACCAGAACCGCTATTCCAAAGCTAGGCAAGTTGTTCTCAATACCAACCAAGGCATCAACGCTAAAAGGACAAAAGCATGGAATGAGAAACAAGTCAAGAACACTGGGTGTGAAACTCCAGCGCCGTAAACCTACAGGTCATCCTGAAAAGATGGGAGCATGTCCCGTGCTGCCCCAATAAGGTTTTCACATGTAAATTTGTCACGGAAGCCAAGAAGGAAGCATTCCCTCACAACGGCACCAAAAGCCAAGTCATTACCACCCGTTCCGACAAGAACCAGATTCGTAGAGGAAGTGACAACACTGTCTTGGCTGCTAAGACTACTAACTTGGGATCCACTACATGCATTGTTGACAAAGTTGGCGGCACCAAGTCCATCCGCTGCCTGTTTGCCCCAGGCGTTGGCACTTCGGTAGCAGCTCCCACCTGAGTAACTCCCACCTCCATTGCCAGAAGCGTAAGAGTCGCCCAAGAGAGCAACATTGAGAGCCGAACTCATACGCAAATTGCTGCTTCCAATGAGTATGGCCAGCAGAATAGCATTTTGGATTGACATGATTACAGTATTGCACGGCATGGCTACACAGTGTGCTGTACCGGTATGGTCGGTCGTCTGGTTGGATGCCTGGGAACGGTACGTACGATGAACGATGATCCAAGGTACACCTGGTAAAATTGTGTGAGCTTTGTTGCGTCTCATAGACCTTCAATCAAAAGCCTCGACACCTCCATCATGCATTTCCTGTCATTGGTACCGGTACATGTTACGATGTACATGTTGTATCGGTACGGACCCGTCACGTCCATCCAGGCCCAGATGTCAGATGTCCAAAATCAACGCTTCAAACATTTGCTTGAGAAACATGCAATGAATGTGCCCCACAATAAATGAAGCCTCAGCCGGCTTCCATAGATAACTCCGTGTTTGATTTCATCGGTTTGTTAAATCCTTTGCTTTCGGGTCTGCGTCCTCGAGGGCCACTTGCTCATTCTTGTTCCGGGTGTTTTTCTCTAGCTAGCTAGCTAGATCTAGTCTTTTGTTTTGTTTTTGATGGGATAAAGTGACCGGAACGTGTTGATCTTGACCAATATAAAACTAGTATGTTTCTCCTGAACAAGTCGGTTCCGCAAGCGACGCTGCTTCGGAGCAAAGCCCTCATGTCAGTCTAGTACTTGCATCAGTTTGCTCCGTTCTTGCGTGATGGAATCTCGAAGAGAACCGGACGCAACGTGCGTCAATCTCTTGATAGCTTGGGTGTGGATGTCAAAAGGTTCAATTGAGAGTAGCAACGAGCCGTTTTGTAGTGTTACCCCGAATTCGGCTTGGCAGTTTCATTGAACTCAGTTCGAGACCAAACTGAGTTGTGTTTAAATTAGTTTGAAGGTCTTGCGGAACATCGACCAAGAATATGTTTTGATTTCTTCAGTGCACAGGTAATCCGAGAGCATGAAGGAGGCTTCGCGTGGGCTCTGATCTTCCCCATTCTTCCAACAGCACCAGATCAATGATAGAGGCAACCTACAGATGGGCTACCATTACGGTAGAACTATAGACACTTGCATTGCTAATGCCTTCGTAGGTTTGCTAGAAGGTCTTGCTTGCGCCAGAGTTTGCTCAGTCTTCCAAGGAAAGGTATTCTAGAGGCTACCTAAGCTGCTTCAAATCAAGGGAGCAGGGTCCTGCACGGTTGGAACAATTGATTGGTTCTTGCTCTCACTTGATCTCCCCTAGCTAGCTAGCCAGTCTCGCCTTCGCTTGCACAGTATGTATTAATAGCGGAATCAAACCAGAATCGAATCGAATCGAATCAAATGAATCCCAAGCCCGCTTGTTGGATAAAACCTAGATAGATCTGGCAAAACAGGAAAGCAAGAAGTGAGAGTGCTAAAGCAAGCATCCGTGTCAGAGTTCTGGTACCTCCTAGCTGCTATTTATTTACCTCAACTACTCATTTTAAACTGTCTTCAGAGAACGTTAATTCAATGGAAGTGTGACACGCCTGCGTGAGCACGGTACAGTCCCAGTTGCTCGAGGAAAGAGCTTGCGATTTGTTCAATTCCTTTATGATACGACTGTCCACGTCTGTAAATCCCGCACAAGGACGAGCAGTTCGGGAAGATAGTTGTTACTCTGGTCTGGTGGCCATCGCTCCGAGGTGTTGCTCTTGACCAAGGTCCCGCGCCGCTTCCCAATATTACTCTGTTTCCGCGGCTTGGAGTAAGTACGTTTCTGCATTCTTCGTTTTTCGTTTGCAAGCATTCTATCATATTTTTAGCTTTCAACTTTCCGAACAGCCAATCTAACCAAACCAGCCTATCTCCATTTCTAGTAACAATCAAACTCGACACAACCTCACAAAAACTGCACTTGAAACAAAATGTCGCTTCCCACTGCCATCGTATCTTGGCTCAAGCTGGTCCGCGTGTTCAATGTTCCCATTGTATTGGCTGCCATGTTTGCTGGCGCTTTGGTCGCATCTGAGCACCTTACTCCACTTCAGTACATGCTGTTATCATTCTTTGCTTTGATTTCAACTGCTGCCGTTCAATCATTCAATGATTACGAGGATCGACATGCAGATGCCGTCAACGCCAAGTTCCGCCCAATTCCATCTGGCCTGTTTACTGCCGACTCCGTTCTCTTGAACGGGTACGTTTGTGCATCCCTGTCGTGCCTACTGTCAGCACCAATCTCCCTTGAAGCTTCTATTACCATGATGGCTATGATGCTACTTACTCGATGGTACTCCGCCCTCAAGAAGTACTCTCTCATTCATCATCTCATGCTGCCAGCAGCTTTAGGGCTCACGTCGTTGTACGGAGCTTTGCTTGTGAGTCCATCAGCCGGAGCTTCTCTGGCCGCATTTGGAAGCCTCCCCACAACAATCTACTACGTTGCAGTTTCAATCTTCCTCATTGACATCAATATGAACATTGTTGGAGCTTTCAAAGATCTCTTTGAAGGTTCTGAAGAGGAATTCGTCCTCCCTGTCATCTTCGGGAAGCGCCCTGCAATTATTGTGTCGGGCGTCCTTGGCACCATCGGTATCCTGATGCAAGGCATTCCCGTGTTTACTACGGAGGACGTTACCAAAGAACCTCTTTTGCCCTTGACACTTGGGTTAGTAGTCCACTGCTACAGTCGTATCAAGCTCTACCTGAATCCAACCGCAGAACAGGGCTACAAGGCACTCAAAGCCGGTCGTGCAGTTGAAGTACTTTGCTTCCCAGCAATGATGTTTGGTGCTCGGCCACCTGCAGAAGCCACCTTGATTTTGGTTCTACTGGTTGGATCTGCTCTAGTCCTCCAAGCTTACATCAAAGAAGCTGAGCTCCCGACTACAGAAAAGCCAGCAAGCACTTCCGTTACTAGAGAGGGTGAGTGTCTGTCTGATTCCTCCATCAGGACTGCTGCCTCGGATGAGGAAGGACAGTATCCCCTCTTGGACCTTCTCTATGAACACCCATGCCAAGCGGAGCTTTTCACCGTTGGTGTTTGCGTCTTGATCACCCTGTTTGCTTTCTTCATGGCTCCAACTAACAGTGGCTGCTTGTGGATTCGACTCTACATTCCACTTTTCTGTTGTGCCGTCGGAGTTGTTAGCGTCATCCATGCTTCTCAGCAGCAACATTTGTCCGGTCTGCTAAAGAATGATTGGGCCTACATTCAACGATACATGTTTGTTATTTTTCTGGCACTTACCCTCGATGTACTCATCCACTACGCATTCACCACGGAATTCGATACCATTGCTCTGTCCAACTGGGCTGCCTTGATTGCTTCTGCTTCGGTGATTGTACCCATAGGCTCAATATGGGCCGGTTACGTCAACCCCGAATACCTGCAAATCAATGTGGTTACTGGAGTCTGCATTCTGGTTCTTCAAGTGTTCCAAGCAGTGGTATCCGTTTTGGGTGCTCAGTCCTGGCAGGAAGTGGTGGTACTATTGCTGGCCCGACGAGTTTTGATTGTCATTGTGGTTCATGTCATCTCGGGAATCTCATACAGTAATGAAGCTGCCTCCATGCTCCGGAACTGCAGGACCTTAGAATATGTGGCTCATCACGCCGTGGCCACCGGGCGGGACGTGATTCTGGACACGCCTCAATGCATCGTTATTGGTGGAACGTTGCTCAAGACACCAATCCTTGGTGGAGAAAACATGATGAGTGGCAAAGCCAGTTGGATGCGTGTTGTGGACAAGATCATCTTGACGGAGCAAATCTTGGCTTGTTCGTCTCCCACCATTCTGTGCCACTCTCCGACGGCCATTTGTCACTTGAGTTTCATGTACGAAATGTTCCAGTCGCACGACATCCACCTCAACCCTGAACTACAGGATCCCTCCCTTTGCCTGAGCAAGGTGACTCACTTTTTGCAACGGCGCTATTCCAAGTTTGCATCTACATCCACCCTGGTTGACGGTGCTGTGGTGGATGAAGGAACCCATCTGCTCCAAACCAAATTGGCAATGGACGTTTAACTAGACTTTTGAGGGATATGACTTGATATCATTCATGTCAGAAAGAAAACGCCTGTCATTCTTGTGATAGGGGATAGATTGTAGATATTACCGTTGAGATACATGCAATGGTATAAAGTAAAATGCAGTAACGAGGAGACTCCTTCTAATAAGATGCATCCGCTGTTGTAACTTGAATGCACGGTAAGGAATCCGTCGTAATTTGTGTATGGAGCATGCAAGGAGAGTTCCTTCCACCATGAAGCCTCTCTAATTCATGAATTGACACCCCTTTAGAAAGCAAATCATCAGCACCACAGGAAGGAAGAACCAGAGTCTGTCACAGAGAAGAATCGACTGGCAACCATCATACCGGGAGGCTGTCTTTTTAAAATGTTGATTGCAACAACGTAGCTGCTCTGACGCCAGAACAGCACGCGCTTTTTCTTCTTTGTCTCCTAGACATCAATTGTTGAAAAGGCATCGTCCGGTAGTTCCACAAGGGATGGCATGGGTGGCGCCGGAGTGATATTGTGCTGCACCACTGCTTGGTGTGACGTGCTACTAGTAGTAATATTCCTTCGAGGAGCAGACGACACGGGTGTTTTGCCACTCTGGTTGGAAGAGAATCTATTTTGCTTCAAGGTCGGATCTTGCAAGGCAAAGACATTGAGGCAGATGGGACATAGGTGTTCGTAGTTGAGCCACTTTTCCATGCATTCCTTGTGAAAGATGTGACCACAGTTGTGATTGTTGGACTGCAAGATGGTGCATTGTTGAGAATACGGCTGTTCACAAATTTGACACTGATCGAATCCCTTGCCCTTATGATTGTTCATGACAAAGACCACATTATGTTGGTGGCTGTTGTTGAGCGAACGAGAACTGATGGGGTGTGGATCGTCGTCCAGAGTGGCCATGTCCGACGCCGACTCCGTGTCCGCGTAGGTACTGGCGTCCGAATCCCATTTGCGCGGTTGGAGGCATTTGGTCAACATTTTGCCTCGATTCACTTTGCGATCTGTGTAAAGACCAAACAATTGTCACGCAGATGGATGAGATGGATCCAACACTACTCCAGCAGGCTTTCAAGTGAGTTAGTTTGAGATGGCTTACCAATCCTCTTCTGTTCCTTTTCTCGTTCGTGTCGAAGTGACAGATAAAAGACTGTCCCACAGCAACAAGTAGCGACTACTGCCAGGATGATCATAAAGAGCGGTAACGGCATTTTATCTTTGCTTTCCTCCTCTAATCCCATCGTCGCAGTGATCTTGTCCCAGAAATCGTCATCGTTGCTGCTATCGTCACTCATTGTTTTGATCTACAGTATTGCTTTCTTCCTTGCTTGCTTCTTTCGAGTTGGATCAAAAGCCTCTTTACTCTTTTGTTGTTGTTGGGTCTAACTTGTGAAACTAACAATTTGATGATCCAGTGGGCCACTCCTTTTGGGTGGTAGGTCTTCCAATTGTATCTGGCAACACGAAATCCTTTGCTGGTACTAGATAGCTGGCTAGCTATGACATAGCCAGCGCTAATGCGCGTGTCGCTCGTTGCCTATGAAGAGGAATCTTCCTTGGAGTGGCTTCCATCATCAGCCTTGCGTCATCCAATCGCAGGTGTGAAATTTCGAAATTTCTTTCATTATTTTTCAGCGATTTGTGGGCGGGGCAAGTCAACGGAGCTCTCTCGTAAAAGAGGTGCGCGGATTACATGTGCTTTTCTAAGTATCTTTGTGGTATCCACGAATGAAACGAATGAAGACTTGGAAGAAACTGTACTACCGGTACGGCTGTACTGTACCGGTCGGTACGGTACATACTGTACCGTATGCCCCTCGCGAGGGTAACAACCGTACAATACGGTAAAAGTCCCGTTGGCACACAAGCTAAGAGTAGCTTTTCATATTGTCAATTGTATTGGGAGATCTAAGGCTCAGTTTCAACTACTCCAAAATGAGGGTCAAATTGGAGAATCGGGCCTTGTTGAAGATGACGTGGTCAGAATGACTCCCAAATGAGGCCCTTGCCCACTACCTGAAATCAGGTTTGGGCAGAGTCCAACGGCCCTCGTCTGCCCAAAGGTGAAATCAGGTTTTGCTTCCCCGGACCATTCTGATTGGTTCATGGAGGGGAACATTCTCGAACAATCACCACCAAAGTTGGCATCTTTCTCGCAGCTTGCAACAAAACAAACACAAGCTTGCAACAAAACAAACACAATGACAACGTGGTGAGAGGAAACCACTCTCATCACAACCAATGTAGGACCAATGGCTCGCACCAAGAAAGCCACTTACCCCTACCGCTTTGGCATGAAGCCAATCAGGCTTGTGTGTTTGTTTGGTAAGCAGCATTGTCATTGTTTTGTTTCGAGTTAACAGATTTGCTGGATCACAATTCCAGTTTTCGAAGAGAGAGAACAGAAAAAGAAGTACCATGAGCAACGAAACAACTGACGAACAACGTGCTTTGTCCACCATTCCGTACCATGAACTGGGAGCAGTGCATCCAGATGCCAGTGTTGTTGGACCAACGGAAAGGTATTACAAATGTGGTGGTGAAAAGGCTGCTGATCTCATGGCAATGTGTATTGGTCTTAACACTTTTGACTTACGTGAGGCAGGGAATGTGGATGTGGAGCCATACTGCTCAATGAAGTTGAAGAAGAAGGTAACACCAACACAGAAACACTTCTGTGAGGAGATTCGTCGCCGATGCATCCTTGAAGGCCTTGTTCCTGGACCAAAATGTGGAAACTGGGAAAAGAAGAAGTGTGTTGCTTGGCTTCAGGCACATCCCCTTGATAACAAGAACGATCGTGCCTTTGTTATTGCCGAAGAGCTCAAACTCTTTGATATGGTGACGAAGTCTGACTTGGAGAAAGAGGATAAGAGTGAAAAGAAAGAGAAGGCTTCTCCCTGGGTTGATACCCAGCCATACATACGTCTCATTGAGTGTATGTTGGACGATTCCATCCGCGAATCCTTCCTTGAGATGCACAGGTTGGGTGACAGAGAGGAGTTAGATGCACGCAACTCAGAAGACAGGCCAGAAACAGTTTTCGAGTCTTGCGCACGTTTGTTCAATGATCCAGACCATGAGGTTTTCTCACGCTGCTTACCTGATCTCCACTTCACCTTTGCTGAAGTTTTGGATTGTTGCTTTGATCACATGCCAGGACGAGAGGGGAGCTCTAAATCCATGGACCGAGCTCCTGTCCTTCCGAGGATCCACGCCAGGCTCAAATCCAGCACAAGGAGCCACTCTTTGAATCAAATAAGTCAGCGGGAGCTGCGATACCTCGGCAGAAAGACAGATAGAAGAAGGAGGATCATGTTCGGATTGCACCCATCTTTCAAGCTAGCCCTGGCTACAACACCCGACTACGTCGTGTGTTGCCGCCCGGTATCATTCATTCCCTCATTGCAACCTTCTTTATTAAGCTAGCCCTGGCGACAACACCCGACTACGTCGTGTGTTGCCGCCCGCTACTCTATAATTTACCAGCTGCCATTCCCTTATTGTAACTCTACCTTTAAACAGCTCCTGCTGGCTTATTGGGCGTTGTGATGATTGCACTAACCTTAAATATTAATAGATTTATTCCTACCCCTAACTTGTATTAAACCATCAATTTCAGTTTTGTTGTTTATGACTATCTCTATCCTTTATACTTTGGCTTACACCGAATAGGAAATAGCATGTTAATTCAGCGGGAGCTGCGATACCTCGGAGAAAGACAGATAGAAGAAAGGATCATGTTTGAGATTGCACCATCTTTCAAGCTAGCCCGCAACAACACCCGACTACGTCGTGTGTTGCCGCCCGGTATCATTCATTCCCTCATTGCAACCTTCTTTTTATTAAGTAGCCTGGCGACAACACCCGACTACGCCGTGTGTTGCCGCCCGCTACTCTATAATTTACCAGCTGCCATTCCCTTATTGTAACTCTAACCTTTACAGCTCTGCTGGCTTATTGTGCTGTTGTAATGATTGCACTAACTTAAATATTAATGATTTATTCCTACCCCCTAACTTGTATTGAACCATCAGTGCTCAGTTTTGTTGGCTTATGACTATCTCTATCCTCATACTTTGGCTTCACCGGAATAGGAAATAGGAAAATAGGATATAGGAAATAGGAAAATAGGAAATTGCATTAAAGGGGTTGAGAACTCAGGCAAGTTTACCTGCCGATCGGATTGCACCCATCTTTCAAGCTAGCTCTGGCGACAACACTCGACTACGTTGTGTGTTGCCGCCCGGTATCATTCATTCCCTCATTGCAACCTTCTTTTTATTAAGCTAGCCCTGGCGACAACACCTCGACTACGTCGTGTGTTGCGCCCGCTACTCTATAATTTACCAGCTGCCATTCCCTTATTGTAACTCTTACCTTTACAGCTCCTGCTGGCTTATTGTGCTGTTGTGATGATTGCACTAACCTTAAATATTAATGATTTATTCCTACCCTAACTTGTATTGAACACATAGTGCTCAGTTTTGTTGGCTTATGACTATCTCTATCCTTATACTTTGGCTTCACCGGAATAGGAAATAGGAAATAGGATTCGGCTTTTTTCAGCGTTCGTCTCCTTTTCCTCAGTTTGCTGGCTACTTGGATCTATGACGAAATACATGCACAACCGAATATTGTCAATCCAGCCATTGTAGCCAGTTACCGTAGAGTTACATCGATCCGTGACAGTACCGACCACACACTCTGGTTCCGCTTTACTGGCTACACTCCGTTACCAGTACGTTGCTTTGGATCCTTATGACGAATACATGCACACCGCGAACATTGTCAATCCACCATGTAGCCAGCTACATAGAGTTCATCTCGATCAGTGACAGTGGCAACAGTACCGAACACACTCAGGTTCGACTTTGCTTGCTGCACTCAGTTACCTCGCATTGGATCCTTATGACCGAATACATGCACAAAAACCGAATATTGTTAATCCAGCCATTGTAGCCGGCTACCGTACAGTTACATCGGCGGACAGTGTCAACAGTACGAACAACACTCAGGTTCCACTTTGCTGGCTACACTCACGTTGCCGGTTTTCGCATTGGATCCTTATGAACAATACATGCACAACCCGAATATTGTCCATCCAGCCATCCTCTAGCTAGCTATCGTAGATTCATCGATCGGTGACAGTGGCAACACTACCGAACACACTCAAGTTTCGACTTTGCTCACTGCACGTCGGTTACTTCGCATTGGATCCTATGAACGAATACATGCACAAAACGAATATTGTTAATCCAGCCATTGTAGCCGGCTACCCGTACAGTTACATCGGCGACAGTGTCAACAGTAACCGAACACACTCAGGTTCCGTTTGCTGGCTACACTCCGTTGCCGTACTTGCATTGTGATCCTTATGACGAATACATGCACAACCGAACATTATGAATCCAGCCATTGTAGCCGGCTGCGGTATAGCTACATCACGACAGTGGAACAGTACCGAAAGTTTGGCTTGCTCGCTACGTTACCGGTACCTCGCATTGATTCCTTATGACGAATACATGCACAACCGAATATTCCTCAATCCAGCCATTGTAGCCAGTTACCGTAGAGTTACATCGATCCGTGACCGGTGGCAACAGTACCGAACAACACAGGTTCCGCTTTACTGGCTACACTCCTTACCGGTACCTTACATTGGATCCTTATGACGAATACATGCACAACCGAACATTGTATCCAATCCAGCCATTGTACCAGTTACCGGTAGAGTTCATCGATCGTGACAGTGGCAACAGTACCGAACACACAGGTTCTGCTTTACTACTACACTCCTTACCCGAACCTTGCATTGATCCTTATGACGAATACATGCACAACCCGAACATTGTCAATCCAGCCATCGTAGCCAGCTATCGTAGAGTTCAATCGATCGTGACAGTGGCAACAGTACCGAACACCACGCAGGTCGACTTTGCTCGCTGCACTCGGTTACTCGCATTGGATCCTTATACGAATACATGCACAAAACCGAATATTGTTATCCAGCCATTGTAGCCAGCTGCCGTATAGCTAGAGGCAACAGTAACTTGATTTGGCATACAGGAAAATGGGTACCGACACAGGAACACCACCAAAACAGTAGGAAATAACAAGAAGGGATGAATCGGTAAGAGGATCCACTCTCTGTGTGTTGTCGAGTAGCTAGCTTGCTCCTGTTCCCTTCAATGACTCGACGACGATCCGTTCAGCTGTCGGTAGGGCTGGAGTTAACAGTCTCCCTCCGTAGTGGTAGCCTCCCCTCTTCTTTTCTCCGAAGAATCGTTCGTTCGAAGCTCACAATGTTTCCTCGGCCGTCAGCAGTAGCAGCAAGAAAACAACAAATAGATATGAGTTTTGTTTTCTGTGCTCAACTGCAGACGACCGGAGACTTACCTCTTGTTTTTCAAATTGCACCAACTTGGCCTCATGGGCCGAGAACTGACTGCCATCCCATGGTCCATAGGATTCATGAGGGATGGCTTTCGCTTCTGCACCAAAGAAAGCCGGCTTGAGGAGGCTTGGATAACAGAGAGGTAACAGAGGTGCGACCGATTGATCGATTCGAATAATTAAAAACAACTCACCTGTTGACGGCCGAGATCTGACTGCCTGCCCATGGTCCATAGAAATGAATGAGGGATGGCTTTCGAATCTGCACCTTCAATTCGATCGATTGATCGATTCGATTTCAACATTGTTGTCGGCCAAGCTTGGATTTACCTCCTGTTTACCATACGAATTCAATGAGGGAAGAAGTCAGTGCTGCGCCTTCAATAATCGCTCGACTGAGGACCATCGGTATCATCAGTTTATCTTTAACCTTAGTAACTTCAACGGTTCTTTTATCACGAATCGATCTAAATTTTCGAAAGGGAACTTGTTACTTAACGATACACATGACCGTTGATTCTGCAACTGAAGTGCGGGTACACTAATTACACAGTAAACGCGAGCCAATCGATTTCAGAGTGCAACTGAGGGGGTAACCAAAAGGTGCGCCGTCTCAAGGAGACGGAATATAGGAAATAGGAAATAGGAAATAGGAAATAGCATTAAAGGGGTTGAGAACTAAGGCAGTTTACCTGCCGAGGTTAAGGGGTTGAGAACTCAGGCAGTTTACCTGCCGAGGTTACTCTTCGTTCTCTCCAGGCCCAGCGCCAACTCTGATCTACCGTATGCAGAAGCATGGACCTACCGTACTGCTGGACCAATCCCTGCAGCGGTGCACATCCAACCCCCACTGCTCCTGTCCCACACATGGATCTTATCCTGCCCCTATTGCTGGAAGATCACCTGGTCATGGACCAGCATGGGCGGGATGAGTTCTATGAAATAACTCGAGCGCATTCACATGGCTCAAATCCAGCGCCAACTTGAACCATCTCCGGGCTTGCTGCATTCCTGCCTCGTCGTACGAATGGCCCCACTCCCACAGGTGAACCCATGCCTGCCCCGTCACTTCTTCCAAGACAACTAAATGAAATGCCTTTTTTATAAAAGCAGACCCAAGAACCATCCTTCTGTTGTCAGGACGATAACTCAAGGACCTTCTCCAGGATCCACACTTGAACCAATTTTACTTTGCAGGTCCAGGTTACCAGTACACCAAGTCCACTGCCAAGCGCAAGTGTAGAATCAGACCTACTCCAAGCCCAGCTCTGTGCTCAAGGAATTTGCGGTTCCAATCGTTGTCTCCCAAGGATATTCTGGTGGGATAGCTTCTAACAATAAAGCTGCCATATTGGAGGATCATGCTAGCAGTAACGCAGTATGCCATGGCATAAAAATCGTAGCTAGTTAATGCAGAGGATTTATTGTAGCGCGGCACGATCTGTTTGAATGATTCAATCGTTTTCATCTCCTGACCAGGCAAACCTACCCCTACAAAGAAGTGAACCGAATCGTTGCAATGCTGTTGCCCGACGGACGGACCATTAGCTAGATTTTAAAGCAGGCGACACTGCCACTACTTTCTCTGTACTAGCATGTTGTTTATCGCATCCTGCAATTCCTGTACGATAGAGAGGAAATCTCTGACAAGTGAGCCTAGCTTCCTTCTTGATTCATGCAGGGAGGGAAGCTGCTGTTTCCATTGCTTGTGACAAGGATACTTGCCCTTCAACAACCAAATTTATCTTGATTCTCAACCAACCAGGTGTTTATTGGAATGTTCCTTTGCTCCCAAGTGTGCCAGTTGCCTTTTTGACAATTGTTTTGGATTGGATCATCATATCGACAAGTGCCCACACTTGTTGCTGTTGCTTCTTGAATGATTCGGGTAGCTCGGGTGGTTTTGCTTCTTCATCATCGTCGTCACCATCACCTTTGGCTGCCTCTGCTTCTTCCTGGAGCTTTTCCGCCACTTGTTGAGCTTCCGTCTTGACTCGATCGCCAACCATCACCAGCGTGCAGTCAAAGAGATCGGCAAAATGCTGAGGTGCCCCGTTGGGCTTGGCCAGTTCCTTGTCAAACATGGTCTGCAAACGACCTCGTCGACTCTCGTCCGTTGGTTCCTGCGACAGGGAGAGGATCAGGTCTTCCATTTCACTAATTTCTTCTTGCTTGAAATCACTGCTTGTCTTTTTGGACTGATAGAGTTGTTGGGACCGCCTTGCACAACCGGCTGCATTGTTTGGACATGACAGAAACCCATTGGCAGCGATAGCCAGCAGAGAAAACACGACAAGGATGGTGCTAAAGTTGGTCGAAGCTATCATGCTTGGCATTCAGAGAGGGAAAGGAACCCAAGAGTGTCTTGTGGGGGGTGTTTTTGTTGTTGCCATCGTGATCATCGCTATGGTTTTGTGGCAGCAAAAAGAAAAGTGTGACGTTTGTTTTGTGGCGTCACCGCAAATTCCCACGCTGAGGTTTTCACCGTGGAAACTGTGCCGAAGCCGTGGAAATTGAATGGGCTGGCCAACACACTGCATGCCTTGCACAAGCAACATGAAACTTGTGAATGTTGGCGGACATGAACTCTTCGCTGGAGTGTCAGTACTATAAAAAGGTTGCTGCATCTAATTAGCATTGCTGTTGCATCGTGTCGAACTCCGAGAGGATGCTAGCTAGTGCTGCAGCGCAAGCTGTTCAATCCCAGATCGTCCAGGCATCACTTGCCCAACGCATTGGTCACGGCGCTGAATTAGTACATTCGTTCATAGAAAACAAGGAAATCAGAGAACGTACATGTATGTTTGCTACGAATCGATGGCCCGCGATACCTATCGTGATGGGGATCTCCGATGATTGCTGGCCTTCGAAATGAATGTGAGGCTCATAAAATTCATTCGATCTCATTTCGAGACGGTAAGTACATTTTTCGATAGCTTCCTCTCGATAATATCCCTTCTCTATCATCATGACAAAGAGTGGATCCTCTACGTCGAAAGCCAAGGCCTCCAAAGCCTCCAAGCCTGCCGCCAAGCCCCGGACTAATGGAGCGGGAAAGGCTGCCCGCAAAACTCCCGCAGAAGTCATAGAGTGCCTCTTCTCCTTCCTGTGCGAGCGGCATAACGTTGGTATTGAAGAGATTAGCAAGGCTGAACTATCCAATCACGCAGGATATGGCAATCCTCGCAGTGCTGGATTTGGTGAAGCGATCAAGGCTCTGACGTCGGAAGGTCTCGTGGCCAAGGGAAGCGAAAATGATACCTTTACCCTCACAGAGGAAGGGATCAGCAAAAAGCCCGAGAAAGCCACCCCCAAGACTCTTTCAGAGTACCATGACCATTTCATTGGCTTTTTGGAAAAGAAGGTCAAGGGCGGCTCTGAAAAAAGAGTCCGTGAGGTCTGGGAGATTCTTGCTGATCGCCAGATTCATGATACCAAGGATATTGCTGGGAAGCTTGGCTACAAGAATCCTCGCTCCTTTGGAAACACCAAGATTATTCCCACCATGAAAGAGATGAATCTGGTGGAAGATGCTGGAAAGGGTAAAGTGAAGATGACAGACAAGGCATTCCCTCAAAGCATGGTTAAAGATGACTAGATCTTCATTGGCCAAGCAAGTGTGTCCCGGTCTGTCGATCAGTTGGTGGTTTGCTTCTCAAGAGAGTGTCGGTCTCTATCTTCCGGCATTGTAGCGATGCAGCGAAATGCACGTATAATCATTATAGTCTTTGCATTGATACTTCTATCGTTTCACAATCGGCTGACGTCTGTGTGTGTTACACTAAATGCCCGTACACCACCATTCTCCAACTCCGCAAAAGATCCCCGTCGTCCCCTGTGTCGCCAGGACCCGCTTCTATGTCTGTGATCGTAAGCTTCCATTCCCCCGAAGGATTCTCAAAGTAGTTCCTCACCGTCATGAGTTTCCATCTTTCATCACTTTCTAGCTCTGTGGATTCAGGGCGTTGTCCTGGATGCAAAACGGAAACAGTGCCAGAGGGGCTCACTAGTTCCACCAACAAGTCACCACGCTTTTGATGAAAAACGTCCAAGTAGATGACAACCGACTCGGTGACAAAATCAGGGTTGCTGGGCACGGTTAGGGTGGACGTGACACTTTCTGAAGAATCGTCGACAATGGGAACGTCCAGTATTTCTGACTGCACCAAGATTTGTTCCTCTGGGCCAAAGTTCACCCAATCCATGGAAGCATTTACAGCAGCTGCTGCGTCGACAACACCATACCCATAGGCATACGAGTGGTTGTACCCTGCCCCATTCGCTGTCCAATCTTCCGAATCTTCTTCCATCTTCTGTGAAGTGGAGACCAAGACTGCTTGAACATCCCGCCATCCCAGTGTGTTGTTGCTTGCTTCTAACATCAAAGCGACCACACCAGCTACGAGAGGGCCGGCATAACTGGTTCCTTCTCCAGAGTCGAGCTGCAACGTACGCAAGGAAGAATAGATTACGAATGAGCAATGGCTTATTCGATGCTGGGCGCTTTGGTGTTTACTTACGCACCCCCCATCTGGCTTGGCCACAACGGTGTTCGTGATGTACTCCTCGTCACCGCCTGTAAGCGTGAACATGGTATCAGAACGTGTCAACCAAATCTTTTAGATAAAACGAACCAACAATCTTACCTGGTGCGGTAACCAGCACGGCGGCGCCAGTGTTGGAGTAGGAAGTGTGAATACCTCGTTTCCCGGTAGCACCAACGGTTATTGTAAGTCGGCTGTTGTGATATCCAATGCCATTGACATCTGCCCCAACAGTTTGTTCATTTCCCGCCGCAAACACTGGGACCAAAGGAGAGGATGGGAGGTCAAAAGTGAGGCAGAAGATTGCTGTAAAATCCCAACAGGACACGATGTCATTGCGAAACGACATCTTACGAACCAGGGACCTTACCAATGATGGTTCCGAGACCATTGCGACCATTGAGCACAGCTTCAGTGTAGGCAGTGTCTAATTCCGGGGGCAAGACATGATATTCACAATCCGTGTACAGGTCAAGGTACTCAGCACAGGCAAGGTTATCCAACTCGTAGTGGACCGAGCAATAATCGATAATTGCTGTTTCGCAAGCTTCTGCCATGAGATTTCCATTGGCACAATCTGCACTTGCAGTGCACGGATTGTTGGGATGGACCCCGGTGAAGGGACAGGTTTGCAATCGACGATGCGTGTAGAGATGTCGGCGGTTGTGTTTGCGTCGGCGGCGGTCATCATCTTGGTTACCATCATCATCATCATCATCGTCATCGCCGTCGCCATCCTGGTTGCCGTCGTCGTCGTCGTCATCATCGTCATCGAACACGTTGACACAGCTGTTAGGTCCATAGCTGTTGGATGAAATATCCACCACATCCATTTTGGTAAGGATTAAATCAGCTTCATTCTCATCCGAAATGTCACTATCTAAAACGCAGGAAGAGATTGTGACTCCAGGAGCAATGCCTGAAGCACATTGATTGTTGTCGGCTTGAGCGCCAATGATACTGGCACAGGTCGTGCCATGTTCATCTGGTTTTCCATCCAACGGGTCGACATCTTCTGGAAGGTATCTATCACACGAGTTGGTCACATCAAAGCGTTCGGCGAATCTGTTGGGAGTATACCGAGAATTGAGCAAAACTAAATAGCCTCTTTGTTTGCCTATTGCATGCTGGATCCATGAACTTACTCTGCGTGGGTTGCGTCCACTCCATCGTCGTTGACTAGTTTTCAAAAAACGAAAATGTAAGGATTGTCGAAGGAAGCCATATGATCACAGAGCGTGTGAGGGATGTAACATTATTGGATGCAAGGCACAACGTGTGCAAGAGAGGGTGCATGCATGCAGCAGCAGGGGTAAGCACGTACCACGAACATGAATTCCAGCTCCAGTGATCCCTCGTTTCCACACTTCCTCCACATTGACAAGTTGATAGATTTGTTTCCAAGCATCATACAGTGGATCATTGAATACATTGGTATCGGACTGGTTCTGGCTGGTGGAGCAGGTGTTTTGCCAATCCGTTTGTGCGGGACAGGAAGTAATCTTGTTGTATAGATCAAAGTATGTTTGATCGGGCGTCTGGCTGGAACACAAAGCATCACCGGGACACCAAAAGCATCCTTCCGCGGTGCAATCATCGCAGCTGGTGTAGCTGTATTCGCGACACGGATCGCAGTCGAAACAATCGGCGCACACGGGCTGATCGCATTCTCCGTCCACTACCCAGGTAGGATATTCGCAGGAGGCATCAGCCGTGACCCAATCCGTCCCCATGCAGCGGGCTTCCAGATCAGCATCATCATCGAACCCGCCACCACCGTCCAAGGCATCATCCATGTCGACTTGTGCCTGCAAAGTGGGAAAATGCAGCAGCAAGAGTAGGGACGAGAATACGATTCGACGAACCATCTTCAAATGCTCCGTCTCTTTTTCTTTCGGAATCGAATGTACTTCCTCTGCGGCTCAGTCTGAGCGTTGTTATTGTTGTACCTGTGGCTTGGCCAAGAAGATATTTGTTCCGAAGGAGAAAAATGAAAAATGAGGATCTGGGGTCATTATTTATTTCCTGAGAATGACACAGCTGTGAAACTGGTTTCACGGCTTGCAGTCACAAGGTTCGTACCGTACAAGGTACGGTAGGTGTGTAGGTGTCAGCTGACGATGACCGAAATTGGCAGGCCCTTTGCCGTTTAATCGCGCCTTGGGTCACTGTGTCAATCATGGATGTCTCAATGCATGTTCCGAGTGTAAATCGAGTGAGTCGAATTCAGTCCTGCGTGATGAGGCAGGAAAGGAGCGGAGACGAGCCGAGACGAAGCACAACAACAAAGTAAAGGACAAGCACCATGGCTGCCACCACAGCGGAAGCAACCGCAGAAATACCGTCTGAGCAGCAAGAAGAAGAACGACACGAAGACCAAGAGGATACTGATGATGATGATGTCGATGATGGTGAACCGAGAGATCGAGCCAAGCCGGGCAAGAAGCCCAACAAAAAACCAGCGAAAAAGCCAAGTCCCCAAGAACTCAAACTCAAAAAGGAGTTTATGCTGATTGACGTGAACAATAGTGGCTTCATCGACAAGGCTGATTTGGTCAAAGCAACTGGTGGCTATTTACCGGAATCCTTCTTTACCAATGCCATCAAGCTCATGGATACCAACAGGGATGGAAAAATTAGCTTTGAAGAATACAAAATTGTTCGTGGCTTGGCCAGCAGTTTGAAGGAAGCAGCTTTTGGAAAAAAGACGGGAGATGGAAAGAAATAGTACTGTACTGTTGGAAACGGGAGTGGCTGCAGGAGCGAGGCAAAAACTGGTTCCGGGTGTTGTTCTCTAGAGTTTTTTTTTTTGGAGCAAGGCAAAAACTGGTTCCGGATGTTGTTCTCTAGAGTTTTTTGGGGGGGCAATCAGTCTGCAAACGCCCACACCCTGCAATGAAAAAAGAGAAAATTGACAATACGCATTCTAGTACAGAAAAATAATGTAGAAGGGAATCAAATGATGCGCTCAAGGGGAGTTTAACGTCCCGTCGGCAAAATTGACCTCCTGACAACACCGGTGTAATGGTTGCTCAATTCTAAAGATCATCGTCCCATTTTTCACACTGCCGCTGCCATCACATCCCAGTTTGGATTGAATTCTGTTTCGCAGAAGATGGTTACCGTGACCCTTTTACGTGCCCACGATTCGACTGGCCACAAGAAGACATCGATTTTCCCTGGTTCTGTACTCTGTTGGTGTGAGTACAAGGGATGTGCCGTGCTCAGTTCGAGCTATCATAGAAGAGGCGGGATATGGTAGGTCGGGGTCTGGTGTTGAAAACAGGTTTGAGAGGCTGAGGTGATCGCATCCAAAGAAGCAGAAAAAGCTAGAAAAGACGATGAAAGGACTGCAAAGGATAATGGTGATTATGATAAGCTGTAGTTATGATAAGCTATGTTATTCTACTACATTTTCATTGTACTTCATGCAACTTTTTCAATACACAAATACTTCAACAATGAACCCTACAAACCCAATGCTACAGCGGGCACAAGCAGGACAGGAAGCCAGTCAACCACGAACGAGGCGACGCCATTGCTGCTCAATAATACAGTGGCTGGCACACAAAGAGCATTGTCAAAGCACACTGGCACACAGCTGTCATCGTCGTAGCAAGGACAGTACTTCTCGGTACATGCCGCTAAAGCATTGTCGGCACCAGCCGCGCGGCAGTTGTTGCAACCATCGGTCCATTCCGTGCAGGTGGATCCTGCGGCACAATCAAATGGATGTGTGGGAAGTGGTTCTTCGTCTTCATCATTGTCCACATCGGGTGTTTCGTCGGAAGCAGCAGAAGCGGTTCCAGTAGCTTTCGGAACACACTGGTCATTGTCATTGCACGTAGGAACACAACTGTTGTCATCATAACAAGGGCACATCATCATAGAGCAAAATGCAGCTCCATCAGGAGATCCGCACCCACATTCGTTGCATCCATCATTCCAACTGGTGCAATAGGTATCCTCGGGACAATCAAATGGAGCCTCCTCGTAGCATGATGTGTTTCCAGCTTCTTCTTTTCCGTTGTCCACCGCGGGGGTTTCTTCAGCAACGACGGTAGCTTTGGGAACACACTGGTCATTGTCGTTGCATGTAGGGACACAACTGTTATAACACTCTTTTCTTTTTTGGCGTCCACCAGCCACACCCACTTGTCCGGAATGATTCGTTCGGCCGACACACCGTCTTGTACGTCATCCGATTCGATCAACAAGAATTTGTTCAAATTGATGTGCATAAGTTCTTTGACTTGGTTCCGAAGCGCCTCCTTGTGCTTTGTGACGTGATAATATCGATGCAACCAGGCAATACTCATCTCATACTTTTCCTCACTCTCCGCACTTTCTTGATAACTCCAGAGCGCCAGAATCAGACCCACTTTCCACGGATTCTCCAAAGGATACCACGGACGTGCCACCCTGTTGGGTGGCTCCGGAGGCATGGGAATCGAGTCGTCCGATTCGGGACAATCCAATACCACTACATCGCCGACATGGACTTGCCGGCCCTTGTGGTTGCTGCCGCGCAAATCCAACCCATGAAAGTACTGTCGTCTTCCAGAGCCAATCACTTCTTTATACAGAATGCCTGATGTAGGTAAAATCTCGTCAATTTTGGGGCGGCCGTTCGCTCTCATGCTCATCATCATCATTGACACCTACTCATCTTGCTTATTTGCTTTTTTCTTTGGATTGTGTTGGCAAATTTCCGCGGCATTGTTTCAAGGAAAGAAAAATGTGCGCGCAAGCCATCTTGCTTTCGTGCCAATGATGCTAAACCCAGCAAGGCTATCAATACATCCCTGGGAAAAGATCCGAAAGCTTGAAGCGGCCCTTGACATTGACGATTGTCATTCGTGGATACAAAATCCAGAACCCTTCCAGTCGCACTTGGACCTGTACGTATCTACGTACAGTCCGTACCGGTACCGTTAGGAACAAGGTGGAGGCGGAAGCGAAGCATTGTGGCATCGGTCGTGTCACACTTCCCTGGACTGACCGGCGAGGCTAACCAGCTACTACCAAACCGTGCCGTACGACTCAGCAGCAAGGGTGTTGCTTGTCCTCATTAATCGAATTTCAGAACATCCAAAAAGAGACGAACAGACAACATACATACACGATGCCAACCACAATGATGATGAAACTCTTGGCCATGGCCAGTGCCCTCGCTCTGGCTGCTGGAAACACATGCTACGAGGAGGCTCCATTTGACTGCCCCGAGGATACTTATTGTACCAGTTGGAATGATGGGTGCAACGAGTGTGGGTGTGGATCCCCTGATGGTGCTGCCTTTTGCTCCATGATGATGTGCCCTTGTTACAATGACAACAGTTGTGTTCCTACGTGCAATGACAATGATCAGTGTGTTCCTAAAGCTACCGCCGTTGCTGAAGAAACCCCCGCTGTGGACAGCAAAGAAGGAGAAGCTGGAAATACATGCTACGAGGAGGCTCCCTTTGATTGCCCCGAGGATACCTATTGCACCAGTTGGTCCGATGGGTGCAACGAGTGTGGGTGTGGGTCTCCTGATGGGGCTGCCTTTTGCACTTTGATGACATGCCCTTGTTATGATG